GCCCTGTCCAGCATGCCAGCCCTCCCTTGGCTGCCCCACATGCGCCCCTTGCAGGAGGCCCTGCGAGTGGGCTGGAGGCTCCCCTTCGAGATGGGGGAGCTGGAAGATTCCCCGACGGGGAGCCTCGCACACCTCTTTCCCTGCTGCGCTCCCGTGTGTTTCTGTGGCTGTGGGTCAGGCCCTTTTAATCCCTCAGTTCCCTCTCCTTCGTTTGGAGAACAGACGCTCTCCCCGAGCGCCCGGACAAGAACAGGCTTGAGCAAGTGCTTGGCTGGTTGTAATTAAAAAAAATATATACATATTCACCAAAGGGGGAAAACACCATTAGAAGGTGTCCATTTTTGCATTTCTTTCTGTTCTCTTTCACCGAGCTTGGTTCAAATTCAAATTATGAAGCGGTCACAGCAGTGAAGCGGTGGGATATGATCGTGATGTGAGGAGGCAGCGGGGAGAGGCAGGGAGTGGACAAGAGTCCAAGCTGGCCAGGCCTGGAGCCACGAAGTCCAGGAGAAGGTGGTGGTCCTCCTCCTCCTCCTCCTCCTCCTCCTCTAACCTGACAGGGAAGTCCCAGCAGGAAAGGAAGACAATTCCAGCTGGCTGCAAGGGCCAGGGCTGGCCACCAGGGGGCACCCCTCTCCCAGAGCTGAAGGGTCTTGTGCAAAACCACCTATCTGGCCAAAAGGGCAAATTTCTTCCAGGACCCGACCGCTGGACAGGATCGGTGCTCGCACTGGCCAGAGAAAGAAGACACGGCATCCCCAGCTTGGCCAGTCTGTGGTGGAGAGAAAAAAACCCCAATTAAGGGCAGCCGCAAGCTTGCACACCACCGTTCTAGATTTCCACTTCTTGCTGGGCGTTCGCATCCAGGGGGGGGAAACGTGCGTGGAGGGAGAGGCGTAGCTGCCGTTTAAGGTGCCCCGGCCCCAGACTCTGGTGGAGGTGGCAGACTTTCAAGCGGGGCGCTATCGAAAGGGGGGGGCAAAGCTAACCGCCGCCTCGCTCGGCTACCCAGCACGTCCTCCCAGGTTGGGGGCACAGAGTCCCAGAGAAGGTCTCTCCGAGGTCAAGAGCCAGCCCCGAGGGCACGGCACAGAGAATCAGTCACAGCTGGGGGCTCTGGGCTGGGTACGGAAGGGGTCTCTCGCTGCTTTCTTTTCCCAAGATCGATTGGTCAACTGATGGATTCCCCAAGTTAGAGGAGATCTTGGGCTTTTCCCTCCTCCCTCCCTCCTCAACCCACCTCTGTCCCCTCTTGACCAGTGGTTTCAGGGAGTGGAGACTCGGCCTCGGAGGAGTCCCCCACCTGACCCCTTTGGGTGTGTCGGGGGCAGTGCCTTCCCCAGTGTGCTTGCCGGGGGGGGTCTCCTCCCAGCCCAGGGTCTTCCTGGGGAAAGGTGCCTCTCAAGAGGCACCTCTGCCTCTCCCCCCCCCTGGCTGAGTTGAAAGACCTCTGGTGCTTTGTCTCTCCGAGGATTGGGGGGCACCTTAGAGCTGTCATGTGAAGAGGCTGGGGGGGCACCTTTAGGAAGCCACCTGAGGTGCCCACTCACTGCCTCCATCTTCCTGCTCCTCTTCCCCAGGCCTGGCCACTCCCTTGATCGCCGCCAGCTCAGGACCCCCCCGGACTGTGACCCCCTCTCCAAATCCTCACCTGCGCCTCCCCTGGGTAGGGGTGGGGGGAAGCCGCTGCACCTGTTGCTTGTTTCTCTCCCTCCTTATTGACCAAACAAGAAGGACACCCACTCCCTGCGCCTGACCCCATCTCGCCAGAGTTGTCAGGCTAAATATTTTGAATGTAACATGAAAACAGCCCTTGGAACAGATCCAGCCCCAGCAGGAGGGCAGGCAGGGCCGGGGGGTGGGGGGCGTGCACAAGGGAGGAAAGACGCCCGGCCCCACCCAGCCTCCTGCCACACCTGGGGCTCCGGACTGGCCATGCCTCCATTTTCCCACCCTTTTCACTGGTGTGCAAGCTTGCCAGA